TCCCCCCGATGGGGACGTTGATGGTTGATGATGATGGTGTTGATGATGCTGATGCTGGTGGTGATGATGATGCTGATGATGGCGATGGCGATGGTCATGGTAATGGCGATGATGACGACGATGATGTTGATGATGACGACGACCGTGACGATGACGATGGTGCTGATGATGATGGTGATGGTGATGATGCTGATGCCGATGGTGATGAATACTCTGTTGATGATGATGATGATGATTGTGGTGATGATGATGGTGATGGTGACGGTGATGACGACGATGATGCTGATGATGACGACGATGGCGACGATGAAGCTGATGACGATGATGATGATGATGGCGATGATGATGATGGTTGTGATGGTGATGATGCTGGTGATGGTAATGACGTGCATTATGATGATGCTGATGATGATGGCTGGTGCTGATAGTGACGGTGATGGGGGTGGTGATGGTGACGATGATGATGCTGATAATGATGATGATGTTGATAATGATGATGGTGATGGTTTGGTGATGGTGACGACGGTGATGATGACGACGACGACGGTGACGACGCTGACGATGACAATGGCGATGGTGATAATGATACTGATGATGCTGCTGTTGATGATGGTGATTCAGTTGGTAATGGTGATGCTGTTGGTGGTGGTGATGATGTTGGTAAGTGTGATGGTGATGATGATGATAATGGTGATGGTGGTAATGATGATGCTGATGGTGATGGCGATAATGTTGACTGTGATGGTGATGGTGATTATCGTGATGATGCTGATGATGGTGATGCTGATGATGCTGCTGATGATGATGCTGATGGTGACGGGAATGATGGTGATGACGACGACGACGATGATCATGTTGATGATAACGAAGACGGTGACGATCACGATGGTGATGATGATGATGACGATTATGGTTCTACAGGCTTACGCCACATCCGCCGACCCCTTCTGTGAGTTTCTGGCCAGCGGCGTCTTGTGTGAGGGTGCGGTGTCGCGCGCGGGTGGTGGCAGATACGCAGGGGGTCCAAACGTTTGCGTGATGCCGGTGGTCTGGGGCGTGTTTTGCGAGCGCCTGGCGTGCTGTGCACCCGGATGCGGGGTGTCCTTCTGGGAGGTCGGCCTTTCGACCCGTAACCAAGTGGAGGACCACAGGAAGACGAAAGGATCAAGAGTAGCGTGCGGAAGTTGTGATCAGCGAGGCATCACCGCGAAAGATGTGGCAGATGAGTCGAAACGGGTGAAGAGGCTGTTGCCGTTCGAAGCGCGCACGAAACAGTTCGCGCGGCAGCAGCACATCAGCGCCGAGCAAGATAGTGAGCACGTCGCGAGGAAGAGTAAGGCTGTATGCGCGGAGTGAATTACAGTGGGCTTGACGGCTCGCAATGCGGAAGCGTATGGGGGTCTTTTGGGGGCCTCCTGGGGGCCTCTTGGGGGCTCCTTGGGGCGTCTTGGCGGCCTCTTGGGGGCCTCTGGCGGCCTCTTGGGGCACTCTTGGGGCCCCCTGGGGCTCATGGGAGCGGAAAGCTAGATTTTTGAATGTTTGGTTGCCCTCTTGGGCCCCTCTTGGTGCCGTCTTGGAGCCTTCTTGGGCCGTCTTGGGGACCTCTTGGGCCGTCTTGGGGCCATCTTGGGCCGTCGTGGGGCCGTCTTGGGGGCCTTTTGGGCCGTCTTGGGGCGGTTTTCGGGGCCTCTTGGGCCGTCTTGGAGCGTCGGAAAGCCCACGAGACGAAGTTGTGCAACATCTACGTTTTACGAAGGAAATGGGCAACTTTTTGCGTCTAGGGATTTTTTTGGGACGCATCTTGGAGGCCCCTTGGGGGCGTCTTGGGCCAGCTGGAGGCCATCTCGGGTGTCTTCGATCGCTCTTGGACCGTGTGGGACCATGTTGAGCTCTCCTGGAAGCCATTTGGAGCGATCCTGGGGCGTTTTTGGGGCCGTCTTCGGGGCTCTCTTGGGCCGTCGTCGGCGCCTCTTGAGCCGTATTGGCTTCCCTTGGGTTGTCTTGGGGCCCTCTTGGAGGTTTCTTGGACCGTCTTGGTGCGGTCTTGGGGGCCTCTTGGGCCGTCTGGGGGCGTCGGAAAGCCCAAAATGCGAATGTATGAAAACACCCACGTTTTACGAAGGGAACGGGCCAACTTGTTGTGTCTGGAGGCCCTCTTGGGGCGCATCTTCGATGCCTCTTGGGGCCTCTTGGGGGCATCGTGGGCCGTTTGGAGGCCATCTTCGGTGTTTTTGATCGCTCTTGGACCGTCTGGGACCATATTGAGCTCTCTTGGAGGCCACTTGGAACGCTCCTGGAGCGCTCTTGGGGCCGTCTTCGGGGCCTTTTTGGGCCGTCTTGGACGCCTGTTGGGCCGTCTTGGGGCCCTCTTGGGCTATCTTGGGGCCCTCTTGGGGGCTTCTTGGGCTGTCGTGGGGCGGTCTTGGGGGCCTCTTGGGCCGTCTGGGAGCATCGGAAAGCCCAGAAGGCGAATTTGTGAAACAATGGACGTTTTACGAAGGGGATGGGCCATTTTTTGCGTCTAGGGACCCTCTTGGGACGCATCTTGGAGGCCTCGTGGAGCTCTTGGGCCGTCTAGGAGGCCTCTTAGCCCGTCTTTGGGCCATCTTGGGCGTCTTGGAGCGCTCGTTTGGCGTCTCGGGGCCCTCGTGGGCCGTCTTGGAAGCGTCTTGAGGCCTTCTTGGCTCGTCTTGAGCCCTTTGTGGGCCCAAAAAAGCTCCGTGACGCGCTCGTCGTCGGCGAGGGGGGGGGGGTCAAATCTCTGGTTTGGGGTCCCTGGGGGGGGGGGAATATAGGGGGGGAACTATCTCACACGCCTAGAGACCCACAAGGGGTCGGCGGATAATGATAGTGCTAATGACGATGACGGTGACGACGATGATGATGATGGAGATCGCGATGACGACGATGATGACGATGATGCTGATGATGGTGGTGGTGATGATGATGTTGATGCTGAGGATTATGATGCTGATTATGATGGTGATGGTGGTGATGCTGATAGTGACGATTATGTTGGTGATGATGCTGATGATGGTGGCGATGTTGACGTTGACGCTGGCGACGAAGCTGATGATGACGACGCCGGTGGCGACGATGACGATGACGATGGTGATGTTGATGATTATGTTGATGATGCTGTTGCTATTGATGATGGCGATGATGCTGAAGATGATGCAGATGATAATGATGGTGGTGATGATGATGATTTTGATGGTGATGGTGATGGTTATGATGATGACGATGAGGACGATGACGATGATGATGATGACGCCGAGGATGACGACGATGATGATAATGCTGATGGTGATGATGATGCTGATGGTGATGATGATGATCCCGATGCTGGTGATGGTGGTGATGTTGATGATTGTGATGATGATGCAGATGCTGATGGTGATGATGATGGTGGTGATGACGACGGTGACGACGATGATGATGATGATGATGATGATGATCATGATGCTGATGATAACGATAGCGATGGCGATGAGGATGCTGATGGTGATGACGATGATGATACTGGTGGTGATGATGCTGGTGCTGGTGATGATTGTGATGATGATGTTGATGATGATGATGGTGATGATGGTGATGATCACGACGATGATTATGATGATGATGCTGCTGATGGTGATCATGCTGATGATCGTTGTGGTGGTGGTGATGATGATGGTCACGACGGCGATGACGATGTTGATGTTGATGATGATGGTGATGCTAGCGGTGATGGTGGGGGTGATGTTGATGAGGCTGAGGGTGGTGATGATGATGGCGACGATGATTGCGAGGATGATGGTGATGACGACGACGATGCTGATGATGGTGATGATGCTGATGATGCTGATGTCGATGATGGTGATGATGGCGCTGATGATTATGATCATGATGCGGATGATGATGATGATGATGATGATGATGATGATGGTGGTGATGGTAGTGCTGACGATGTTGATGCTGATGGTGATTGTGATGGTGCTTGTGATGGTGATGGTGACGATTACGACGGCGATAACGACGATGATGGCGATGATAACGACGACTATGGTGACGATGACGATGTTGATGATGATGGTGACTGTGATGAGGATGGCGATAAGGATGATGATGCTGATGATGATGCTGATGCTGATGCTGATGAAGAAGCTTCTGCTGAGGGTGATGGTGATGCGGATGATGGTGATGATGGTGATGATCATGACGATGATGATGTTGATGATGAGTATGGTGATGATGATGGGGCTGGTGCTGGTGATGATGATGATGATGATGGGGATGATGCTGCTGCTGCTGATGCTGATGCTGATGATGTTGCTGCTGATGATGCTGATGGTGGTGATGATGCTGGTGGTGATGTTTTTTGTTCTGGTGATGATGATGGTGGCGATGGTGCGGATGATGATGATGCTGATCTTAGTTCGCACACTAATTCTCCTCCATCCGCCCCACTCTACGCTGCGGTCCTCCGTGTTTCGCCCTCCCCCATCTTGCGTTCCTCCTCTCTCCTCCAGCTTTCTCCTCCGTCCTCCATCCGCCGCCCGCCATTCCCCAACCCTCCTCCGTCCTTCGCCCTCCTCCTCCTCTCTCCCTCCTCCTCCTTCGTCTCTCCTCCCTCCCTCCTCCTCCCTCCCTCCTCCCCCCTCCTCCTTCGTCCTGCTCCTCCTCCTCCTCATCCTCCTCATCCTCCCCCTCCGCCCTCCTTCCGTCGTCCTCCTTCGTCCTCCCCTCCCTCCTCCCTCCTCTTCCTTCGGCCCCCTCTGTCCTGCCCTTGGCCTCCCCCCCCCCCCCCGGCAGGAGGAGGGAGCGGGGCAGCGCACAGGACGGCGGGGAGGCGAACGCTGAGCAGCATGGGGAGGGCACCAACAGCCTTGAGGAGGAGCAGGACGAGGAGGAGCAGGATGAGGGGCAGGACGAGGAGGAGCAGGATGAGGAGCAGGATGAGGACGAAGAGGAGCAGGACGAGGAGGACGAAGACGATGAGAAGCCCTCCCGCTCCGCAGGGCAAGACCATCGGGAGCTCCTCCAGCAGCTCGCCCGCTGGCCCCAGTGGCAGCCCCAGCGGGTCCGCCGACGCGGACCCCGACGCGAGCAGCGAGGACGGTTGCGGGAGGAGGAGGAGGAAAAGGAGGAGGAGGAGGAGGAAAAGGAGGAGGAGGAGAAGGAGGAGAAGGAGGAGGATGAGGAGGAGGAAAGGGAGCAGGAGGAGGAGGAAAGGGAGGAGGAAAAGGAGGAGGAGGAGCAGGAGGAGGCATGATGGGAGGAGGGCGGGGGAGAGGAGGGAGAGGTGATGTAGGGGGAGGGAGAGTCGGGGGAGGAGGGGAGGGATGAGGGAGGAGGGGGAGGGGGAACGATCATGGTGTGATGATGATGAGGAGGGTGGTGGTGGGGATGAGGAGGAGGAGGAGGAGCAGCAGGATGAGGATGCGGATGCGGATGAGGATGTGGACGATGATGTTGATGATGGTGATGATGATGTTGATGGTGATGATGTTGGTGATGGTGATAATGATGCTGCTGATGATGCTGGTGATGATGATGGTGATGATGGTGCTGAGGCTGCTAATGATGATGCTGATGATGGTGATGACGATGATGACGATGATGATGATGATGAAGCTGCTGCTGATGATGATGATGCTTATGCTGCCGATGGTGATGATGCGGGTGCTGATGCTGTTGCTGACGCTGATGCTGAATATGATGATGCCGCTGGTGCGATGATAATCATGATGAGGCTGATGACGATGATTATTGTAATAGTGCTGATGATTCTATTGATGTTGATGATTATGGTAGTTATTATGATGATGGTCATGGTGAGGGTGGTGATGATGATGATGATGATGATGATGATGATGATGATGATGATGATGATGATGATGGTATTGGTATTGGTGATGGTGACGGTGATGGTGAAGGTGATGGTGTTGATGATGATGATGATGATGATGTTGATGATGATGATGATGATGATGATTATGGTGATGGTGATGTTGATGTTGATGGTGATGGTGATGTTGATGATGTTGCTGATTATGATGGTGATGGTGATGGTGATGATGTTCCTGATGATGATGGTGGTGGTATGAGAGGGTTTAATCGGCTACAAGTAGGTAAGTAGTGCCAGGTTCGCCCCGTCGTTCGTCCGCCGCGCGGCGCTAGTGGGTAAGTCATCCAGGTTCATGCCGTCGTTCGTCGCGGCCACCACTTGACCTGGGGGCGCGCCGCTCGTCGTTCCTCGAAAGCAGCCACTCGGGGCATGTGGTTTCAGTTGTTTGTCGTCGCCCCGGCGAATGGGATTCCAATATCCCCAGGACTATTGGGCTCCCGTGCCCCCTGGTCTCTGGACGGGCCGCCGCCGCCGAACCCGATGCGTGCGAAGTGCACCTATTGTTCGAGGCCGCCGCCGTGCCGCCGCCACGAGTTCGCAGCGGGGTATCGCGCTGAGATGCGCCGAGCTCGCCCGCCGCCGAAATACGAGAGTGGCGCCAGCTGTGTGCATGGTTGCGTTTGGCCCCAGCTCCTTCTGTGGGTTATTTCAGGTAAGTTCAGGAATTCAGCTTCGTCGCAAGAATGTTTCTTGGTTGTTGCGGATTCGTGCAGGAATTTATTCATCTAACGTTCGCAGGTTTGCGCAAAAGTGTTTTTCTGCTCTCCAGTTAGTTGCGTATCCAAAAAAATCAATATTTGGAGGTTGTTGTATGTTTTTCCGTCGTTTGAGTAGAGTATTTCACGTCGAAGTTCGAGTTTGTTTGTCGTTTTCTGTTATATATATATATATATATATATATATATATATATAAGTGGGCTTGTATCTTCATGTCGCGTTGTTTGCCGATGGAAAAGGGACTTCAGCAGTCAGGAAAATCAGTTCGTTCCTCGTTTTTCCCCGGGTGGTGGTGTTGGTGATGATGTAGGTGATGCTCATGAAGGTGGACATGCCAATGACGATGAGGATGATGATGAGGAGGAGGGGGAGGATGAAAAGGAGGAGGAGGAGGAATGTGATATTGCTGGTGATGATGATGCTGACTATGGCGATGGCGACGATGACGATAAGGATGTGGATGGTGATGATGGTGCTGGTGTTGATGCTGATGATACTCGCACTGATGATGCTGGTGATGCTGATGATGCAGATGACGCAGAGGAGGGGGAGAAGGCTGAATTCTTGACGTTTCGCTAACCCCCGCCAGCCCCTGGCTCTGGTCTTCCGCTGGCTCCTGGGGTGCTGGCCGCCGTGCTTGCAGGAGTGGCTCAGCCTTCTTGGCCAGCCTGGCGTGTCAGCTGGCGGTCTGCCTCCCTGTCCTCTGGCGCCCGGTGGCGACAAGGATTCATTCCCGTGCCTGGCGATCTCGCTCCCATGGTACCCGCACGCTGCAACTTCCCAGCCGCCTCGGCAGCTGGCGGCTTCCACCCCTCAGCGCAGCCCAGCCCCGCCGAAGCTGCCCTCGGCGGTAGGTTTAGTCTGCGTGCTCGGCGCGCGCGCCGGCAATTCGGGTGCTCGCGGCCCGTGCTACTCTACTGACGCTGTCGGCGCGCTCGCCTGCAGCTGCGATTCAAAAAGTACCTCCACCAGCCCATCCAGAAACGATGTCCAGGCGAGTTGGCGTGATCAGGGAAGCGCGGGCGCAAAAAGGTGGACGGCCGAACCGTGCGAAGGAGGGAGGAGGAAAAGGAGGAGACGATGGATGGATGAGGAAGTGGGGGGACGGAAGATTAATATGATGATGGGGAGGAGGAGGAGGAGGAGGAGGAGGAGGAGGAGGAGGAGGAGGAAGAGGAGGAGGAGGAGGAGGAAGAAAAAGAGGAATAATAAGAAGAAGAATAAGAAGAAGAATAATAATGAGAAGAAGAAAAAGAATAATAAACATAAGAAAATATGAATAACAATAATAATAATAATAACAATAAGAAGGAGGAGGAGGAGGAGGAGGGAGGAGCAGGAGGAGGAGGGCAAGCAAAAGAGCCAGAGGTCTCTTGGATGCCTCTCGGAGCCTCTTGTGATATCTCTTGGGCACTTCTTGGAGACCTCTTGGGACGTCTTGGGGTCTCTCGGCGGTCCTGGGGGGCTCTTGGGTGCCTCTGGGGGGGGGGGGGGCGCTTGGGGTCCTCTTGGGGGCGTCCTGAGGGCCTCCTGGGCGCCGTTTGGGACCATCCCAGAGGACATCGATCAAAGAAGGGGGGTCCCTTAAGTACCGTCGCCCCTCGAGGCCCCCCCAAATCGCCTTTTTGAACGTTCTTGATGCGCTCTTGGAACGCTCTTGGGGCCGTATTGGGGCTCCCCTGGGCCCCTCTTAAGGCTCTCTTGGGCCATCTCGGAACTATCTCGAGGCTTCGAATAGCCATCGGAAGCGAAAGGGCGAGAACGCAAACCACACTGATCGTCCAAAGGTTTTTGAAGGATGTTGGCCTCGTGGGGGGCATTATTGGGGAGCTCTGTTGGCATCTTAGAGCCATCTTGGAGCACGGTTGGGGCGTCTTCGTGCATCTTGGAAGCCATCTCGAAGCATCTTGCGTTATATGGAACCATCTTGGAGCTCATCTTGGGCTCTCTGACGCCCTCTTGGGGCCATGTCGGGCCATTTTGGACGCCCTGACCACTCGCGGGGCGCCTCGTCCAGGCCCGAAAGGGAAGAAGGGAGGTGAAAGAGGAAACGCCCTAGACCACCAACGCCCAGAGGGCTGGTGGGATAATATGTAGAGATGAGGGAGGGGGGGGGGGGGGGCGTTTCCCCAAACAGCTGGGCAGCAATATGTGTGTCCCACAAGAGCTTGTCTTTGACAGCTAACGAACTAGTAGGAGCGCTGCTCATCCAGATCCAAAGTCGGTCGGGGGGCGTTGCTTCCCGTTGTCTCCCAGTGCTTGCTGTTGTCTCCCATTGTCTCTCGTTGCGCTCGTTGTTTCTCGTGGCCTTTCGTTGCCTCCCATGGCCTCCTTCTGGCCCCCGTGGCCTTTCATGGCCGTCCTTATCTCTGTCTCTATGCTCACCCATATGTATATCCCTTTCCGTATTCCCACATTCCTCTGTCTCTATCTCTATCTCTGTCTGTTTAATCCTTCGTCTGTGTTTTATATCCCTAGCCTGGTCTCACCCCCCAAGCCTACGCCTATCCTAAGCCTTACCTCCGACGTCCAAATCCTTGAACCAGTCGCAATTCGCCCCTATCACTGCCCCCTGCTAATACCCCCCACACACACACACACTCGACTGGCAGCCAACCCGTACCCATGTGCAGTCCTCCAGCATCCGTGTCAAAACACCCATGCAACATACATGTTGCTTGCCTCCAAAAATGTATGCGCAGGCGCCCCGCGACCACGTTGCATTAGTCATTGGCAGGGACGGCGGGGTGCTGGCATGTTGTCTGCTTCCTGCCATACCCCCCCTCCCATACCCCACCATCCCTGTTCAATAGCACTGTGGTCGTTTCTTCTTCTTCTTATTATTATTATTATGTTTCTTCTTCTTCTTCTTCGTTTTCTTCTTCTTCTTCTTCTTCTTCTTCTTCTTATTCTTCTTATTCTTCTTCTTGTTCACCGTTTTGCCGATCGTTGCGGGCCCTCGGAACCCCCCGCCCCCCTCCTGGAGTAGATATTGGCTGTTTTTGGCGGCTGTTTCAAGCACGCTGAGTCTCCCCTATGGGACAAACTGTTGCAAAGAGTCGCATTTAGCAGAGGTCCAGAGCCAGAGCCCCCCCCCCCTCCTCCCCCTTCCGCCCAGCGTTGAACGCCGAATCCGAAAACGTGCACAATGAAAAGTGTTTTCTTTGCGGCAATATCTGAGGTCGTGCTCGGGGGCCCCGCGGAAACTCTTGCACTGTCTTCTCAATTGGATGGCGGGGGTGCCAGCATATGGCCTGCTGTGGGCAGGGCCACCATCCCCGTCAAGAAGCAATACACATTGCATTTCGCAGCCAAACTTGGCGCGCGCGGGCATCCAGCGTTCACGTTGCATTGTTTTTTACAGGGACGGTGGAAGTGCTGGCACGTTGCTTGCTGTATGCAGGCCCACCAGACATCATGATGGCCACTCCGCCGCGACAAGGATGGTGGAGGCCGACACGTTTCCCGATGTGCGCGGGCGTATCTGGC